CGCTCCGCCTCCTCAGCGCGCGAGGCCTCTCCGCCTCCTCCTGCGCCTTCCGGGCCGCCTCCTCCTGGGCCTGCCGCTCCGCCTCCTCGCGCGCGAGCCTCTCCGCCTCCTCCTGCGCCTTCCGGGCCGCCTCCTCCTGGGCCTGCCGCTCCGCCTCCTCGCGCGCGAGCCTCTCCGCCTCCTCCTGCGCCTTCCGGGCTGCCTCCTCCTGGGCCTGCCGCTCCGCCTCCTCGCGCGCGAGCCTGTGCGCATCTGCCTTTTCGCGCAGCGTTTTGGCCATCATCATCTCCATTGCTGCCTCTTCCTCTACTTTCCGAGCCGCCTCTTCCGCCTCGCGCGCTGGAGATCCCAGTGGCGCCGAGGCGGCGGGCCTACTGGCGGCCGCGCCATCCAGCCACGCGTCCTCGCCGTCCTGCGAGTGCGTAGAGGGGTGGGGGCGAGGATGACATGCATGTAGTTTGGCCCAGATCATGTAGACTCAACGATTTTAGTCTGTAGCCAAGCTTCGCCAAAGCACTGGCCAAATCCGAGTTACCATAGTCACGAGTGCAACGTGCGCTCAGCAATCAACAAGCATCGTCATCGTCCTCGACACCATCATCCCATGGTGGCCATTCCTGGGACGTCTGCGTGGACCCGATCAGATGTTGCATCAATGGCGGAAAGAGTTATTAGACTGACCAAGGCGAAATGGGGAGCTATTCAGCCGGCACAGGCCGGATTGAGCGAGATTCGCAGCAAGGAACTAGCAGGACCAATGACTAAGACACCCCCCAGAGGGTTGCAACCTAGAACAACTCAGGAACAGGGACATAACGCAGCAAGAACAAGGGCAGAACTCAGGAGGGGGGAACAACGTGAACAGAACTCAGCAGAGGCTTTGAAATGTGGTTGCGCAGCCCCCTCATTGCAGGAATGTCAAGACCCGCAGCAGAGCCGTCTGATCGTTTCGCGTGTTAGTGCCTACCAGCTGTCAAGTCAGGCCTTTCCCCACCCGACAGGTCGGGGTCGTTAGTTCTACGAGAGAAGGCCGTCCGCCCGCATGCCGCGGCCGCCCGGCCCCCATGCAGCCAGAATTGATAGCAAGACTGCGCGATGAGGAAGCAAGCCACTTGCACGCCCATGTCGAGAAACTTCGAGCGGGGCTTGCCATCGAACGTGGTGAATTAAGGATGGAGCGAAGAGACACAAGGGTGCAGGAGCACACCCTTGAGAAAGCTAGGCAAAGTACCCATCCACAGATGGACAGGACTGGCCCCGCAAGGGGTGGCCACTGGGCCCGACCCCTCCCCGCCAGACCCCCGTGCCCCGCTGCGCGCCCTCGACAACACGGGGCTGAACCAATCCAGGCGGCAAAGGCCGCCGGGCCCCAGCACTCCCGACGCAGTTGGAGTCGTAGTAGATGCGGTTGGAGGATCGCGCCGAATCGTCGATGCATCACCGATGCATCGGCGACGTCAGCGATGTATCGGCGACGTCGGCGTTGAGAGAATACACATCGAGCCGCATCGTCAATGCATCGGCGATGCGACACGATCCTGCGATCCCGTATGCTCTGACCCCGCCTGGGAAGCCTAGAACCCAGTGTCCCGCCTCGCCCCATAACAAACAACGACAGAACAGATGACACACCCAATTCAAATACACCAATCACAGACGTAGATGGCAGGCATGAAAAGCATGCAGCAAGACCAACGATGGCCAACACAAGCACAGCAGACAATACACAACAGGCAATGCTCATGCATATCACACCATGAAACAAGACACCTAATGCGCTGGCACGGTGGAAGGCATTACTGCATGCAGCTAGATATGATGGCTCAACCACGGGGAGGAGAGGCATTCGGGGCTACGCTAAAGCTAACGTCAGGATCAGGACTGTTGAGTGCAAAGCAACGAGGGGAAAGGGGTGGTTGAGGTCTGAAGCTGCTAGCCTACTTTGGTTCACCATGCCCCATGCCCCATCAGTCTGACCATTCTCTTCCTGCTTCTCTGAAGGTCGCCCAGATGAGGTCCGAGAAGCAGGATGAGGGAGGATCGCGCAGCATCGCCGATGCACCGGCGACTCCGGCGGCGGAGGTAAGCTGGCTTGACATCGAACCGCATCGCCGACGCATCGGCGACGCCGCGCGATTCATCGATCCTCGCTACAATAGACACGCACGGAGGAGGATGAGGAGGAGGAGGAGCAGAAAGGCCAGAAGCCTCGATGATGCCTCTCGGAGTCTCGTCGGACTTCTTTCGAGTTCTTCTTGGAGTCCTCCTGTGGCGTCTTGTGGGTCGCTTGGCAGTCCCAGGAGCCTCTTGTTCGATGCGCCTGCTCTACTTCGTCCCATTTGGGCGGCGTGGATGCTAAGCAAGCAAAGGACCCCTAACCCTTTGGAAGGAGACCTAAGTTAGGGAGGCCACAATCATAAGGGAATGGGGGCCTTTTCAACGGATGCACCATCATCCCTAATGCCAGGACAACCCAGTGAGGCCACGTCTTCATCGTGTTCTCAGGGTCAGGGGTTCTGTTGTTCTTGACGGCTGGGTTCTCGTCCTGCTCGGGGCAGGGGCTGATCGTCCCCTCGTCGTCGGAGTCGTCGGCCGCCAGGCTGAACGTCTGCGGCTGGCCCGCCGATGCCGCGGGACGGCACGCGGCGGGCTGCCCGAGCGGCACCTCGCCCGGGGGGCCGAGGCGGGGGCAGGGAGCCCCAGGCCACCCAACGCTGGAGGCCTGGAACATGGGCACCAGCACCAACACAGGGGGTTGGCTCCACAAGGGGGAAGAGGATCCTAGATCTTGGCGTTGGTGGTAACAGTTTGGTCACCATGGAAGCCAGAACGTTACCACGATCACCGAGATCGGGATCTGCTTCCCTCGGTGGAGGCACACCGCCGATATCAGTGTTGGTGTCAACCTCTAGGCCAACTTTGCGCATCGCGCGCCGCGATGCGCAACGAGCGATTGTCTTTGAGCAGGGGCCGACCGTCCCAGCATTCCTCTACCACGACATGTTCTGAGAACCCGCAAATGTTCCAAGAACGCGGACAATGCTCTCAGAACAGAAGCCCGACGTAATATAATGTAAAAAAAACGGCCGGCCACAGGCAAGAGTAACCCCAAGCCCAGGCAAGAATGACATCTGGTGCGCGACTTTCGGGGGGCGCGTGGAGGCCGACCCGGAGCGCGCAAGCCGCTGCTATCGCATCGCATTCAAACATCTGGGACCCCCAATGTGCCCGCACCAAACGTCACTGCGGCGAAAGATCACGCTTACTCGCCGAGCGGAAGAACTGGGCAGAAAAACAAAGCAAGAAGCCAGACGAAATAGATTCGGTTCGGGCCCGCCCAGAGAATAACAAGAAAGCAGCAGCAGCATGCCGAGTGGCAAGGATACGAAGGGTACCACCGGGGAGGCAACCCGTGCTCATCATCGATCTCGACTGTACGGAGCGTGGCGACGCGGCACTCGTTTCGCGACGTCGGATCTCGGGGGAGGCCGGCGGGCCGCCGAGGCGGCCGGCGGCGAGGGGGCGGCCTCTGGAGAAGAGGCCAGGGCGAGGGCAGCGCCAGACTGGCATGCCGTCCTGCAGGCGGATCTGGGGCGAGACACGAAAGAGAGCCACAAAGTATGCAAACAGAGTCGAAAAATCGCCCCCCGCGCCATGTGTTCCTGTCTTTGAATTTCCTCCCCCCTGCAGAGGGACTGGCCCGACGCAGCACCAGACGAGGGCATGCCGGGGACCTCTCCGAGAGCTGGCGGTCCCCCGGAGGAGGTGCCCGAGCGAGCGCCCCCGAATGGTTCGCGCTCCGCGGCGCGCGCCCCGCGAGGGAGCCCAGCCGTGCCCGGGAGGGCACGCACAGCAGGGGCCCGACCACGATCGGGGATGGACAGGCCTCCCTTTAGTAAAACGTGGTTTAGTGAAAAGGACTTCGGGCCCAAACCTGGCGGGCGCAAGCCTGGAAAATAACGGCCACGGCGCCCTCTCGAAAACCGAAAACGGACAACTCACTAATCGACGTGTCACTGTTGGGGGTTCTGTCCACCCCCGACCACGAGAGACCTCCCACCAGAAGCCCAGCCCCGAGACCCCAGGACGTCCCTCGACTCCCAGTGTGGGAGCGCCACGCTTTCCAGGGCAGGCCCGTCGAGAAGACCCAGGGTGCACCCTCGAGAGGCGAGCAGGGCGGCTCTTGGCACGGGCCTCCACCGCAGCGTAGAGGCAGCGGCCCGGAGGAAGCCTCGGGCGCCGCGGCCGCTCCGGAGCGCCCTGGCACGCCCTGCAGCGGCCTGCTCCCTCAGCCTGGGCCTGCCTGGCCTCCCGGGGAGGCCCCAGGGGGGGGGGGCCAACAGCGGCACAAGCATCAAACGTTCCACGCCCCGCGCGTTTGTTGGGGGGGTCTGCGCCGGCCCCCCTCCCTGGCGCTCCGAGGGCGCCAGGCGCCAGGGGCGGCGCCGGCAGCGCCGCCAGGGGGGGCCCGGCGCAGATCCAAGAAATCCGCGCGGAGGGCCAAACATCCATGTTTATAGCGTTTTTTCCTCTTCTTCGAGTCGTGCGTCATTTACCACACGATCCCCGGAGGCCCCGACCCGTTCCCCAGGGCTGGCTTTCTTTTCGCGCTGAGTCGCCTTCTGACGGCCCCCGGGCCTGCCGAGGTCCACTGGAGGCCGAGCTCGGCGACACGCCTCCCGCCGTGGTTTCTCCACGACGCAGGCGCCTCCGCGCGCCCCCCCCTCCCCATTCCACGTCGGTCGGGAGAAGCAGGTAAAAACGTGAACAGAGAATAGCAGAACACATCAAAAGCATAGCGATTCTTGAAGCGAGCCTTTTTGTGGATGCCATGGCAATGAACACTCTAAGAATCCGATACTTGAATGAAAGATGTGTTTACATGTTTGAAACATGTTCTAACAATGCTTCAAGCATGTTTTCTAGTTTAACATATGTAAGGCATGTTCAACACATGTTTTAGACATCTGGGAATTATTTGGCAACATGCTTCCTCTCCATAGATCGTCGTCCACAAAAGTAGATAGGGACCTGGGAATATCCCAAATACTTACTATCAACGACCGGCGTGTACGCGTCCGGCGAGGCGGGGACCGTCTGTAAACGCCTCCGCCTCGCTCTCTGCCCCCCTCTTCTGCTACTGCAGAGTGCGCGCCGCCAGAGCTCCACTTCCGAGTGACACAGCCATTTTTCTTCCGTGGCGTGGCCCCCAGTGGGTCTCGACCCCTTGCCTGGGGCCGCCTTTCCACCCCGGGGCCGGGATGCTCGATGATCCTCAGAACGTGTGTTAGCCCCAACGAGTGTTTGTCCATCGAGGCCCTTCGATACAATAAAGGCGATGTGATGGTCTACTGGTTGGGCTGAAGGGGGCAAACACACATTGGGCTAACACACATCCTGAGGATCATTGAGAAGAGACCTCCAGGGGCCGAAGCCGTCCAGCAAAACCGGCCGTCGCGATGCGTCGCGCCGCCTGGATCTGAGGAGGGAAGGGAGGGAAACAGCATACAGTGGGGACCAGTCCACAAGCAACCTTCCACAAGAGACCCAACCCCGAGACCCTATGAAGTCCCTTGCTTTTTGGAGCGGAAGCCCCGCGCCCTCCACCGCAGAATCATCGAAACCCAAGAAACCCGGGGCACCCTGGAGGCGAGCAGGTTGTTTCTTGGCATGGGTAGTAGATCCCATAACCCATAATTGAATCGATAAGTCGGATCGGCGATCGGAATGAATCGCATCGGAGGACATCGGCAGCCAAGTCGGGGGAAGTCGAAGCGGCGGGAATCGGCAAGCGAATGGGCCTCCTATGAAAAATCGGAATCCAAACCGGATTTCCAAATCGAACCGAATCGGAGGAGTCGAAACGCGCCCTCAATTGGGTCTCCACTGCACAGCCGTCGCGCTGCCAGGGGGAACGCCGGGTGTGGACGAAGGGGCTCTTCTCTGGCCACGGCTGGCCTCTCTGCAACGAACAGGTTCCCCCGCCCAGATCTACGGCACTGCCCGAACACCAGAGCTCCTCCTGGATCAGGGGCCGGGGGTCTTTTCTGCAGACGTCTGGGTATCCGGCCTTCCTGTGTGTCCCGGTTCTTCCTTCCCGCCTCTGCTCCCCTGGCCCGCCCAGCGCCGTCGGGGGCACAATCGCGGACTTCAGGAGCCTCCGTTTCATGCCCCGGACTGTCTGCCACACGTCTTCACTGTGTCATCTGGGGGTTGGGGGCTCTTGTTATTCTCGATGCTCAAGGGGCTCTTGTCTCAGCTTCGCGACTGTAGACATCTGGAACTTATTTGGCAGCATGCTTCCTCTCCATTGATCGTCGCGACTGTAGGCGGGGGGGGTTAGGCATGGGGAGAGAGCGAAGCGGCAGCAAGAGGTCAGGCACGCCCCCCCTCCACTCTGGAGAGCGATGGGTGGGCGAAAACAGCGAGCACCGCATCTCGCGAAGAGTCGGACCATCTCCCGGACCCCCGACGTCGTGGTTTGTTCACAACGTCGACGCCCAGAGGTCTAGACCCCTTCCCCAGGGCTGGACTAAACGTTGTTTCTCGTGTTGTTTTCGTTTTGTCTTTCGTTCTGCTCTGCCTGTTTTCCTGTGCCCCCCTGCCAAAACGAAAAACAAAACACAGCCGAAGTCCAACAACACAGCGTTTAGGTCCAGCCCTGCCAGAAACTCATCCGGAGCCGCTTTTTGACAGTCCCGAGGCCGGAAGGGGCCCCTGCAGGCCGAAAACAGGGAGAAACCTCCCGTCGCGCTTTTTTCGCAGCGCGAGAAGGTCTGGGATCACAACGCGCGCCGGTTCGGGCCGTGACGGCGCGGGGTCGCAACCGATCCGGACCGGCCGCGCCAGGATAGACGGCAGCGCCATGCAAAAGCATCGAGCAGCACCAGACCCTCGGAAGACTCGCACGACGCGGAGCGGGTCAGCCGAGATCGATATATCGAAGCGGATAGATCGGATCAAAATTGGCCCCTGTGTTGATTAGGCATAGATAGAAGGACGCCTAACCCTTTGGGAGGCGACCTAAGTTAGGAGGGTCAGAAACATGAGGGATAGGGAGTCGTTTCTACAGGTGTCGAACCAAACCGCCCAGAATTATGATTCCTGATGCAAAGGACGGGGCCGTCAGTGAGGCCACGTTTTCACTCTGGTATGAAGGGTAGTCTTCTTTTGTCCTCGATGATGTGTGAGGGGGGCATGTGGGCGAAAAGAGGATGGACGAGGGAGGGGGTGGGGGAGCGGAGGGAGGGCGGGACGAAGGCTGGGCCTCGAACTGCTGCCCCTCTGGCTCGAAGGCGCCACCGCGGTGCGCAGGAAGCGCAGGGTCGTCGGGCTTGCCGCGGCTGAGCGGAAGGAGTGCGGCCTCAGGAGGGCAAACGTCCAGGCAAAGCACTCGTCGCGAAGATGCCCATATGTGCATCGCTTTTCCTGGCACGTCCCGCCGTGAGTGTCTGACGTGGAGCGCCTGGGTGCGGCTACGACGAGGGACAGCGGTGATGGAAGCTCAAAAACAGACAGGCGGTGAGCAGGTCCCCCGCCCCCTCCCACTTCACACTGCTCGTCGCACCCCCTGCCTTCTCTGCCTCCTTCCTGCTTTCTCCCCCTTCCTGCGTCCTCCTCCTTCCTCCCTCATCCGTCCTGGCGGCCGTTCTTCTCCCGACGTCGAACTGGTCATGGGGCTCTGAATGGACAGGAGTCGGAGGTGCCAAACCGAGCGCTTCGTTCGATACATCCCCACGATCTGACCGCCTGGGGTGCTGAAGCCAGCGCCTCGTTCGAGTGCAGACGTCCACCAAATAGGCAAAACGCCTGAAACGTACCCACAATCTGGGCGCGAACGGACAAATGTCCTACCTCTGCCGGCTCCTCCTCCGGGTGCTAAAACCAACGCCTCGCTCGAAACACCCTCACAATCTGCTCTGAACGTCCCGAAGTCCAAGCCACCAAACAAGCAAACCGTCTGAGGCATAGGCATACCCACAATCTGGGCGAAAAAGGGCAAATGTCTCCAACCCCTGGCCGCGCCTGGTACTACATCGCGACGAACAGAGCGAGCCACCGAACAGGCAAACCGTCTGAGACATTCCCACAATCTGCGCGAGAACGAGCCACCCCTGGCGGCTCCTCCTTGGGGTGCTCAAGTGCCGCGCCTGACACATCTCGATGAGCATGGGGCTCTGAAGAGAGAGAAGTCCAAGTCACCAGAGAAGCAAACCGCCTGAAACATACAATCTGAGCACGAACGGGCAAATGTCCCCCCCCCTTGCGGCTACTCCTTGGGGTACTCAGGTCCCACGCCTGCTACATCGCAATGATGAAAGGAAGAAATCCCGGACACCAAACATCTGGGCGCGAACAGGCAAATGCCCCAACCCTTGGCAGTTCCTCCCTGTGGTGCTGAAGTGCCACGACTGATACATCGCATCTTATGAGCATGGGGCCTTGACTGTATGAACGATGTGTGTATGAATCTGAATATGTCTCGACTGGGTAGGAGTTGATCTGAGTGAGAGCGGTGTGTGTGCGTGTGTATGAGTCAGTCGGGGTATGTGCGAATCCCAGTAGTAGCGGGTCTCAGTGAGAGTGAATCTGAGATTCAGTGGATCTGAGTCGGAGTGAGTCGTCGTGCGAGTACGTCTGAGTATGAGTGGCCTGAAACGAGGCAGGCGGGGGGAAGGAGGACGGGAGTCCGAGGCGACACACTGATAACAAGAACCCTGTACTTAGGATATGGGGAGACATTTTGAAGTCCGTGCGGATTTCTCGGATCGATGCTGGACCCGCCTCCCTGGAGCGCGGAGCGCGCCAAGGTCGGCGCCGGAGGCACCGCCCGGAGAGGATGCAAGACATTCGCGCGGACTCTCGAAAGGTTTGTGCTGGTGCACTGTTTCTTCTTCGGGTGCGGCCAAGAAGGGGGTGTCCACGAGGGGGGGGCGGAAATCATGGCCGGCGGCATGTGCGCGGCCCAGGGGGGGGGGGGGAGGGACGTAATGAAGTAAGAAGAGGCGCCATGAAAACTGAGGAGATATCATGGCCCACGCCATGATATCCATCCCCCCCCCCTCTCTTTGCCGCCCCCGCTTTCTTCGAGGCCTGGTCGGCGTCGAAGCCGGACCCGGGGAAGAGGTACAGGGTCGCGAACTCCAGCAGCACGCTCTCGCCGCCGCCGAAGCTCACGGCCCCCTGCGCAGCCGGCGTGCCGCCCCCGCCTCGCAGGTGCTGGTAGATCGCGTTGCCTCTTGCCGCGTTCTCGAAGCTGCACCTCTTGAGCAGGGACGGGCCGTCCCGGTATTCGTACAGGCCTACCACGACATGTTCTTAGAGCCCGAAAATGTTCTAAGAACCCAAACAGTGTTCTTTTAACGAAAGCCCGATGTGTCAAAACAAAACAAGATCGGCCAGAAATGTTCTAAGAACAGAAAAGGTTCGTAGAACATTCTTTGGTGGGCCTAGAGGCAAGCCGGGACGGTTCGCCACTGCTTGAACCTCTCGAAGAACTGCTTGTCGGCCCTGTTCGGCGACCCCGAGGGGTGAGGTTTGCAAAGGGTGTGCGCTTTGCAACCCGCGCCCGGGGGGGGCGGGCGAGGACGTCGGCAGACATCTCTGCCCCGCCCCAACCCTTCGGCGCCACGAGGTGACCCCGAAGCCCCAATGGCGCCAATTGCAAACCGCACCCCGGCGAAATCACACGCACTGTACAGTGGAGGCCAGTCCGCAAGAAACCTTCCACAAGAAACCCAACCCTGAGACCCCAGGATGTCCATTGATTTCTGGTGTGGGAGCGTCACGCTTTCCATGGCAAGACCATCGAAATCCAACCCCGGAGGCAAGCAGGGTGTCTCTTGGCAGAAGTCTCCACTGTAGTCGCCGACCTGTGCTCTACGGCCTCGATGGCCCCCAGCAGCTCACGCCCGGGCGCGGTGCCCGCCAGCCCACGGAGCCACTCGGGCCTGTCGAGCTCGGCCGCCTCCGTCAGCTTCACGGCGCCCCGGAAGTCAAACTTTGCCTCCTGCAGCTTCTCCCAGCAGCCTGCCCCGAAGAGCCTGTCCACCCCGTCGGAGATGGCGACCCCTGGCAGCCACGAGACAATCACGGGGAGACCCTGGGCGGCCCACTCGCTGGCCTTGCCGACCTTCTTCTTGCGCTCCTCGGGGGTGGGTGAACTTCCCTGGACGTCCTTTCGGCACGTCCGAAATGGGAACGGATAAAACAGGTACGATGCTCAACAGCAAATGCTGTCCAATATCCACAGCGGCCGATGTTGGGCAAGGGACGTCTTGTCTTCAATGGACAGCGTCCCCGGCGACACTAACAACGAAGCCGGTTCAAAATGGACAAGATATGCTGTCGGTCTTCGTACCCAGTCTTTCTGTACCCATTTCGATCGTACCGATCCTTCACCCAGACGACCCCTGGCACCGCCAGCCCGACTTCGGCCTGCCGGTCCGCGTAAGCCTTGACGTAGCGCTGAAAGCCTTTGCCCCAGGGATCGCCGTCGACCACCAGGTAGTCTGGGCGGAACTGCGTTATAGCCTGGACAGCAACCTCCTCCTGCCGATGCTGCACGTCCTTCTGCCCCTCGGGGGGGTCACCGAAGCCGCTGCCGAAGCCCTTGACGTGGAGCACGCGCTTCCCGGAGAGGAGCTTCTGCAGCTCCTCTGGGGTCTCCAGGACGAGGAGCTCCTCTATTTGTGGTGGCCACAACGGGGATGGGGCGAGGAGGTGAGTGAGGCAGGAAGAAGGAGAATGAGGGAGGCATGGGGAGAGAGGAGGGATGAGGGAGGGAGGGGACGAAGGAGGGAGGGATGAGGCAGAAGAGCACTTAAGCATGGGCAAGACAAGCCAGCTACACGTGTGAAACGGAACGGATCGGAGAGGACAGACGCGCCACTGATGATAGGAGAGGACAGAGGAGAAGGAGAGCAATGAACGGAGGGAGGAGGAGACGGGGAGGTCGGAGGATGAAGAGGGGCACGAACGAGATGCCCCAAGAGAACCCTGACTAAAGAGTGGGGCCACGAACGGCGACGATGACGGCTACGACGACTTTAATCCCAAGGGCCCAAGGGCTTTTTCTTCAATCCTTGAAGAATCATGAGATTCTTCGCACCGCGCGGCCGATCACTTCTTGGGTCCCTGGGTGCCCGAAACTAGCCTCAAAACCCGCCTGAAGGAGAACGTTCTTGCTGACGCTTATCGCGGGCAAAATCCATCAGGATCGAATCGGGGAGCTGGATCGGATCGGAATGTGCGTCGGATCGGGCCGCATGGGCGCGGAGTCGGAATCGGATCTGCCGCGACAGGCACACATCGGCGGCGAGCAAGGGGGGGGAAGTGAGAAAGAGAAGGCCTTCTCAGAAGGTGGCGGGGATTCTCGGAAACCCTCGCGCCTCCTGAGAAGTCTTTTTTGTCGGGGAAGGCTTAGAAAACTTCTCAAAAGGTCGGGGGACTTCCGAGCCTTCTGATCGGCGGTGGACAAACTTCCCTTTAGTAAACAACCCTTTAGCGAAAACGGCTTAAGACCGAAACCTACGGACCTGGACCCGCAACAATGACGGCCGCGACGCCCTCTCGCAAACCGAAAACGGCCAATTCGCTGGTCGACGTGTCAAGGTAGGAAGGTCTACCAACCTCCGACCCTCTATTGCCGCTAAGCGAGTGCCTCCGGCGCCGACCCCACGGGCCCGCCGCCCGCGAGGGGCGGCGAGATGGAGCGGTGTTCCGGGCTAGGGGTGTCCCATCTCCACATGTGGTGAGCGAGCCCGGTCGCCAAGTCCTCCTCCTCCTCCTCCTCCTTCTTGGGCCGCATCGCATCGTCGGAAAACTGGGATCGGATCGGATCGGGCCGGCGGACACGATGCCGAACCATATAGATATCGATACCATGGAAGCTAGTCCACAAGAAACCTTCCGCAAGAAACTCAGCCCTGAGACCACGGGACGTCCATTGGTCTTTGGTGCGGGAACGTCACGTTTTCCATCGCAAGACCATCAAACTCAAGGAACCCAGGGCACCCTGGAGGCAAGCAGGCGATTTCTTGGCATGGGCTTCCACTGTATCGGGCCGACGTGGGCCCTCCGAGGGTTTCCTGCCGACGCTCATCGCGGCCGCATCCCTTGGGCAACAGACGGGCAACGTCCGAGAGCCTCCGCAGCGCCCCGCAGCGATCGACCGTCGGCCCGTATAATAAGGATGCGCGATAGGGCTATGTTGCTCCCATCGTGCTTAAGGACCACATCCCAGAAATAATTGCGAGCACTCAGGAAGGTATCGAAACAGTGTCGAACCAGTATGGCATCCCAGGGCTCGACACGTGAAAACCCTCGCGTTTCGGTATTTTCTTGGTGTTCGGAATTCTTTCTGGTGATCACACGCTAAAAAACAATCATAACGATAGGGATGAAAAGGGCCTTGGACGCCGATCTCGAAGCTTTTCGAGCGGGGCGCGTCGCCGTCGAGAGGCGCCGTCACGGGGTCCCGGGCGCCGATCCGAGAAACCTGCGCGGAACATCGATAATTCATGTTTATGTCGCTTGTTCCTGTGACTGCATTGGAACCGTCGTCGAGAGGAAGGGGCAGGAAAACCCACAATCGTATCGATAAGCAGAATCGGTGATCCAAATTAATCGGATCGGCGGAAATCGACAGACGAGTCGGGAGGAGTCGAATCGGCGGAAATCGGCAGAGTAGTAAGATCTCGTTGTGAGATCGGAATCCGAAGCCGAATCGAATCGGAATCGGGATCCGTCGAAGTCGCATCGAATCGGATCGTAGGAATCGAAACAATGCATCGGCGATGCGCTGGCGATGCATCGTCGACGTGGTCGATGCATCGGCAATGTCGGCGTGGCGAATGTCGGGTTCCGCATCGGGCCGCGTCGTCGATGCATCGGCCATGCGGCGCGACCCTCCGACCCCATCTACTCCAACCCCCTCTAGGAGGCCTAGAACAGCTCATGTTCGGATCGTTTGCCCCCGTACACGCCCCTACCGCCAACGCAGTCACCCTCTGCCTAGCAGCCGACGCTACTTCGTTTCTGCGGCTGCACTTGATCCGTCGTTTGTGCGACTGCATTTGACACGCTGACTGTTTCTGTCGCTTGCTTCTGCGACTGCACGTGAGCCGTCGTCGAGGGGCGGGGGCGAGGCGGCTGGGCGTCCGGCGGCGACGCGCGGGCGGCGAGCGCGGCCCCCAGCGGCACGGCGCTGGCGTCGGCGCGGGAGGCCGCCGGGCGGCTCTCCCACTC